AGACCTGGCAGCAGGTGTTTTGGCTGACCATCAGCATCGCCATCAACGATGCCTATATTCTTTACAAGATGTCAGACGCCTACCACGTCAAACGCTACAGCCGGGCGCAGTTCGGCGAGAGGCTGGTCAAGGAGCTTCTGGATATGGACGACTGCTCACCCACTCAGTGAAGAAACCGCATGCTGTCTCTAACCCACTCATACTCAAATACACTTGCATTCTGCACTTCAGGGTCATTTTGAACAAACAAACCCTATACATAACGCTATACATAATAAAATGTGTGCCAAGTTTGGTTGAAAAAGGGACGTTTTCCATCTAAACTCACATTTAAGACCCCATTTGATACTACAGGACTGTTGTAAATACGTCACTGTAACACTTGCTGCATGAGAAAAACGAAAACGTGCCCTTTGTAGATGTGCAATGATTTTTATCCAGAGTTCCAGTAATAGTGTTGACGTAGTTTTGAACCCTGAGGTACATGTTTTGTGAATTCTCTGTTTGTGAGCAGCATATCCAACATCCAGCACTGATAAATATACTGTATATACTCTGTGATTGAGGCGTTTTATCAGCAAAAACAGAATGTAATGCAATTCACACGTTAGATCACAGAACATCGTAGATGTTGTCCCAAATACCTGGGCTTTTTTCTATTTTATATCACTTAATATTTATGATCTTTATGACTCTTTTTTTTTTTTTAAAAAGGCAGTAACATTAGTAACGCAGATGATGTATAATGCCACACAGACACCAAACTGGAGGTGAAATGTGGCAAAACTACTATGCTTTCCCAATCTTTTTTGCACTCGGAAGTAGCGGTCAGGATTCGGAAAAGTCTAATGATCCCAAATTAGATTTCAGCATAACATTAACTCCTTTGTCTGCCTTTCATTAATATCCATATCGTTTTGTCAATTAAATTATGATGATGAATATACAGTAGGAAAAGGCCCAATATACAGTAGTATACCAAAAATAATGTAAATATTATTTCTAATAATTTATTTATATATTTTTATTATGTGTAATTTAAATTGATTATCTAGGGGCATTGATGTATTTGCGAATGAATAAAAAAAAATGAATGAAATTATAAAAGACTTTAACTAGAATGTCTGTCTACCTGTAAGTGGGTGGATTTATGTGGTCGTTCACTGTTCCAGAATGTATCAAAAGATCAATTCTCCACGTTGCTATATTGTAACCGTAGTAATGACGATACAATCGCAGCTCATGGCATAATTCGTTCATTCAAAGAACCGAAGCGGATTCATTTCCCTCAGGTAATATATTTAGTCAAACATCTCCCACTGTATCACTGTGTTATATTCATGACCACTGTAAGGGACAGATGTACTATTGTGAGTGAATTTGTCACAGATTTACCAGACATGCTTCTTATTTACTGTGGTGCCATCACCTGCTGTTTTTCTTTGTACCGAGTGAAACGCTGCATACTAACAAACCAATTAGGATGCTTACCACTGAAAATCACTTAAAACATTCTTTTAAATCTTCATATTCAGTCTATACAAATCTGTACAAGAAGTCTACTTTGCAATGTCAGCTGCAGTTATTCACAACAATATATATGCCATATTTTATACCTTTTAAATCAAGACAAAAGCAATGTTGTATTATATAGGTGTGCTCATAAACATGAGTTTTTTTTTTTGATGAATGTTGCAAACATTTGATTCACTTCATTATAATATTTTTTGTACTACTAATCTTATCTGCATAGTCAATACACTAACAAATACACTTCAGGCGATAACTGCCACCTGTGCTTATCTAATATAAATGGCAACAGATGATTTTGAGATTGTATATCCATGTTTTTCAGAGCATCCTTTGGGTTCAATCTGCACTACAGTGGGAATTATTTAATTATTTTAATCAGGCAGACAGTGAACTGTAATGGCGTTAGAGAGGTGTTTGACCTTATCTAGGGTGACCTCAGGGTTTTGTAACTACAACATCTACTGTAGTGCAATATAACGTAGGAGATCAGACCGGGTGCTATTAACATCTCTGCCAAGAACATAATCTGTAAGCCAGAAAATGGTTGGCATGACCGAGACTTTTAATTAAAGCTCTTGCTGGTGCAGAACATTAGAATAAAACCCTTCCAATAAGCAACGTTTCTGCTTTTGCACTGGCTGCTAACATTGTAGGATATACTTCAGGGCCAGCTTCATGTGGCATGATAGCAGGTGAAAATAAACTGTCCTTTTAATAACAACACGGCTATGACAACTATATAATCTCATTTACTGGACCAAATTCCTCAATATCTGGTCAATTTAACTAGAACCCAGTGTTGGACATGTATCTATTTTCATGTATGAATGTTGTGAATGTGCCGTGTGTCTTGCTGTAATAAGGCTTGGTGTTCCTTCAACTTGTCTTCTCACTGTGAATGTTGAAATGATTCAGCTGTACGTGAGAGTATCTGTGTTATCTGTAATGTTCACCCTCACTGTATGTCCAGTTATCAAACTGACCTGTGCTTCACCTCCCTACCTCTATGTGAGTTTACACCAATTTGCACACTAATAAATGCTGTTTATACATACTTTATATATATATACTGTATGTGTGTGTGTAGCGTTTGTACTGCATTTCATTTTCATTTTTGACATTTCTTTTTAGTGTAATACAATAAATATAATTTACAATGTAAAAATTCTAAGGGTCCTAGTAATAGATTATATTCTGATGGAAACATATTTATTTAGTTTTGTTAATGCACCATATTTGAAAACACTTAGGGCACTAGATATGTATGTAATTTTTTTTATTTAAGTTAATTATTTTCCATCATTCAAACCTTTGCAATATCTATAAAACAATGAACAATTACAAGCGCTGTACAGTTGACCAAATCACTATAACCACTGTATGTCCAGTTATCAAACTGACCTGTGCTTCACCTCCCTACCTCTATGTGAGTTTACACCAATTTGCACACTAATAAATGCTGTTTATACATACTTTTTTCCCTACAGTAATTGGTTGCAACATTCATTGCACTATTCCTAGAATCTCACAGACCTTTCCAAGTCACATTTTCCATTAAATGTAAAAATTGATAACTAGATAAATGAATTAATATTGTAATAATAATAATTTAATATCATTAACATATTTAATGATAAATAATACATAAAAATGTAATTAAGAATTAATTACTATTAGAACCCTTAATACTTTTTTCTTTGCATGGTGACATTTTCCGAACACGTATGCACATCTTGTCCCCAAATTCTAATTACAGTAAAGCTGTGAAATTAAAATAAAGTGATTTTTTTTTTTTAAAAGCATAAAAAAGTTATGCTATGCAAATAAAGGAAATGCTTATTTGTCAAGAAAGAGAATGAGATATTTGAGAATGAGATGTATATTTATTATGTATATATAAATACACACACATGCATGTTAGTTTTGTTAATGCACCATATTTGAAAACACTTAGGGCACTAGATATGTATGTAATTTTTTTTATTTAAGTTAATTATTTTCCATCATTCAAACCTTTGCAATATCTATAAAACAATGAACAATTACAAGCGCTGTACAGTTGACCAAATCACTATAACTGCAACTGAATGTGTAAATGTACATGCATGGACATACATACTGTATATACACACATATACACCATTACAACTGTTGACCCCATGCTGTTTCCTTTGCCATTTAATGCAACATCAAGATCTTCCTAAAACTGGCTTTCAAGGAAACCAAAGAGACAAAAAAAAAAGGTGGGGGCCACATGTCCTTCATTTACTAAAAATGAAACCGTCCTAGTCTGGAGTAGAAGTGTGTTTCCACGTTTCAGTCAAAACAGCAAATGACTTTGGCACACTGTGCGAAGTAAACATTTCATCCAATTCAAAGACTAGCCATCATGTATTGCTCCGAATTTCTTCAAAAAGCCCATCTTTCAAAGCCCAAACTTTACATAATTTCATTGGCTTCTCCTTTTAAACTGGAGAACGGTGGCGTGATTCACTATGGCAAAACTACCTCTGCTTTCCTCATCCAGCAGAATCATGTGACATACAGGAACCCGATGAAGCTACAGAACGCAGCCAACAAAATACAGGTAGGTGGACTGATTTTCTTCCTAAAGGCCACACAATCTCTGCCCAGACTCAAAAGAGAGTCGTCCGCATGTTTCTGTTGCTGTCTTCATACTTGCTGATGGAGAACTGTTATTTATGGGACAATACAGAGTGGTGCAGACAAACCCAACATAAACAAGTCTTAAGATTAACATAACACTTACTGCTGATACATGAGGAGAGCTGACCGAAAGCCCGTCAGGGACTCATTTAGTCTGGATTCCCTAGCCTACAATAAGTTAGTTAGAACTACTACGGTGTTATACATGAAATGCAGGTGGGTTAACTGATTTGTTTCACATATCACAGGCTTCTTTGTCTGTTGGATTTACAGCAACACTAGTTCTGTTAAAATCAACCGAAGTACCACAATAATTCACAAGGTTTGGATGTGAAAAAGTATTTCAGGGGCATGAATAAACTGCTAATTAAAAGGACAAACACAAAACCGTGTTGTGTTTCTCTATTGTGACTTCAGATGCTTCTCAAATGCACACTTCTTTGAAAGCTGCTTAGAAACACAGTCACACACACACACACACACACACACACACACACACACA